AGAGGTTGAAATCATCGGAGGTCATCTTCCACCTATGAACTCGAACCAATCATGGAGAAAACATCGCAAGTCAATGAAATCATGGAGAAAACCAAGCATTGTTTCCTAGAGTAAATATTGATATAAAATGCTTTGTTGGTCTTTCTCATTATTGTCAACTCTTCAAACTCAACGACAGTCCCTTGTTCTTCACCGGTACGACAAGGATATTAGTTCTGATAATTTGGGTTTTCTCTTCCTCTAGTGATACCGAACAGCCCTCCTAATCCAGATCAACAAAGTTCAATCGAAACAAAGTTCTCGTTCTCCGCAAGCCTCGATCGAATCTCAGGCCAAAATACCATTCAGGCAAATCTAGTTCTCTTATTATTTCTGTTCTTTTATTTCTTTCTTTCTTTCTTTCTTTCATTCTTTCGGGGACAATAGTGAAGCCCTGTGCGTCAGTCTCTACAAATTTGGCCGAGGACAGAGGTGATAATGAAACCTCTGCAGTTGAACATTACAGACGATCGTCGGATCGCTACAGATAGATTTGAGAAGAATGGTTACTTTTGTGATTTTTTTTTTCTTTCTCCATCGATACTGTTGATGATGATGTGTTTTATTTCATAACCTATTCATGTTCAAATCTCTGAAAATCAAATTCTGCTTAAGTTGTTGGCCTGTGATAATTCACCATATCTCTACACCTTCTTTATTAAATCGTTTCATCAAAATGATTTGCTATCTTGGTTATGCTTTGGAACTGATGTGACGCAATCTGACTGCTCCTAGCTGGAGGTGATCTAGCTTCCAGTAGACAACGGATTTGGTGGATCTGCACAGAGTGAACCAGAGAATCCGGGGGTGCTTACCCAGCGAGGTCGCTCCGATGCTTAAGTTAGTAATGTGCAAGCTGAATACAATTAAGAAAGCAAGAGAGCTAGTAAGCAGTGATTGCGCTTACCTTTTCCCCCGAAGGGTTGGGGTCTTTATATACTAGAGTCCTCGCGGGTTTCTCGGAGTGGTTCTGTGATTCTTGTCGTGATGAGGCCCGTTACCGAATTAACAGGAGATAACGTCGCTAGCCGATAAAGCATATCGCTGCTGTCCGAATTGGTCGAAGGAGATAAGGCCAGCCGTTACGAGGTGTGATCCCGTAAAACATGGAATCCGGTGACAAGATCTTCGGGGTCAGCAAGTGGAGGTCGGTCAATATTACCCGAACCGATGCCCCCCGGGTCCAACCTGTTACGAACGCCGAGGTGCCTGGTAACCGAGGTGATCTTGATGCAATCGTGCCCCGAAGTGAACTTGTCCCGAAGTGGATTTCCTTCCGAGGTGAGCCTGTCCTGAGGTGGTTCAATTGTTTGAGCTCGGTCCGTCGCAGACTTGGATACGTCAGGATGAACTATCGTCCTGTCAGCTAGGTCGTGTCCACGTGTCTTTCTATTATTAGGTCGGGCCAAATCACCCTACATTAGGAACTAATCTGAATATCAAATTTGCATTATTTTTATTGATGATTAAACTAAGCATTTTACGTTCTTCTTCAACTCATTCCAATAGGTTCTAGGTTTTGGAACTGTTCACCGATTTATCTTTGGAGGTGGGGAAGATAAAATATATACAATAGGAAAAGGAGACAAAGGAAAATAAAGACTAATGGGAAGAGGAGGTGACAGAATGTCTAGTTAGTTAGGAAGGAAAGAATGCAGGTTGCAGAGAAATAAAATAGTTATGAAATAAAATAAATAATAATAATAATAATAAAGGATATAAGAAAAATTGGAAGTAAAAAAGTAAAAAGTGAAAATCTATAATAATGGGCTTGACCAATGGTTATGAATTAGCTTGATAGGTGGGATATAGTTGTAGGAAGAATAAGCTACTAAAAGGGGGATAATATAAAAAAAAATCAATATATATATATATAATAAAAATATAAAGAGAGAGAAATATAAAAATATAAAAAAAATTGTAACAGATTAAAAAAACAAAAAAAAAGAAACAGAAAATAATTCCATGAAACAAATAAATCAATAGTATTCCATAAGAAAATAACAAAAAATAAATAAATAATTCATAAAAATTAAAAAGGGAGAAAATCAAAAGATAAAAATTAATAAAGATAATAAATAAAAAATATATAAATAAAAAAGGAGCTTTTCTTTTGTGTTGGCTTACTCCTTTGGTTCACTTCTTTATTGTTATTTTGCTTGGTTAATTGTATTGTGCTTGTTTGGTACCCCATGTAGGCCCCACCTATTGGACTCGGGAGAGGGATGCCTAACCCTTTCTCTCTCCCATCTGAGTCTTGCCCGAACTGGTTTAGCCGGTGCCTCAGGCTACTAGAGTCACTATTGAACTAAAATGATTTTGATACCATTCTCGGAGGTCACATCACCTCCATTTCTTAATATGATGAGTGGCAACTCCAAATCCAGCCCAAGTGAACTATTTTTTGACGCTCACACCACATATTACGACCACCACACTTTTCCCAATTAATTTTTGGCTCTTTGAATCCAATATGTCTCTTCTTTGTCTAACCTTGCCTCTAATTCTCGTCAAAGTGTAAATTGAAGATGCGAGGCATTTGTTGTAGTGGGGGAATTTTGAAGAGAGAGTAACTGTTTCTCCAACCTAACCATTTTTTTCCTAATAGAACCTGTTGCTCATCCCCTTTCTTTGAAAGAAAGAATCTAACACAACTCCACATTTATTAGCAAAGGACCCACTTGATGTTTGCCAAAGATTTTGAAACTATCAAAGAACCCAAGATCTCCATCCAAAGAACTTCAAGGCATCTTCTTGCTGAACAAACAGTTGGTGTTAGCATATTTAATAATAGTGGGGAATGATCACTTGACACAGTGACTAAGGTGGCATTTGATAAATCTAAAATCTGAAAAGTTAAAAAGATATTAAAAGTGTATGAAATTTGAAAAGAGACATAGTTGTTTTTTGACTTTTTACAGGCTTTGAATAAATAAGGTTCTTTGTGTTAGATCAAACCTTCAGCATATGAAATTCACTAATTTTACTATTTTACCCCTAAATTGGACTATTTGGTAATTTTGAGTTCAACTTGTACTATTTCATAAAAACTATTTATTAAACTCAAAATAATATTGAAAAATATGAATAAATTATAAAAAATAAAAATATTAAAATAAGAAATTTTTTTAAAATACATACAAATTTATAGATTAAAAATAAATTATTAAAAGTCAAAATAATAATGAAAATAGTAATAAAGTCCATAAAGCAATAAAAATATTTAATAATTAAAAAATAATGTCTTAAAGAAGAAGAAGATGAAAAATAGTGGACAACGGAGGAGTTGCAGCAGAGGAGTCACTTGCAGCGGAGGAGTTGCTGCCATTGGTTCGCTAGAGGAGTCACTTGCCGCCATTGTCAAGAGTTGCAACGACTATCGAAAATGAATATATATATATATATATATATATATATAGAGAGAGAGAGAGAGAGAGAGAGAGAGAGAGAGAGAGAGAGAGAGAAGGCCATAACTTGCCGCCACTAGTTCGCTAGAGGAGTCACTTGCCACTGTTGGTTCGCAGCTATGCCAAGTGGAGAATATGAACAGTGAGAGGGAGAAACACAAGCATGTTTTTAAGGGTATTTTGGACTTTCAGACAAGTGTGAAATGCATTTGAACACATTCAACACCTGGCCCAAGTCTTATTATATGAAAATAATTTTCAGACACTTCCAAACACCTTTGACGTCTGAAAAACAACAGTTTTAGACTTTAGAGGTTTGAAAAATATTATCAAACGCCACCTAAATGTTGAACACTGGGTACAGCTCTATCCAATCACATGTGTATTTCATCACCAAAGCGATTGTTACACCATGTAAATCTCATGCCAGTGAAACCAAAATCCAAAAGATTACATTCAGCCAATCTATCTTTAAATCTTATTTTCATTTCTCATTTTCATTTAAGTCGCAATTAGAATCCCAGTGGCACAGACATGTTCATTAAGGTTCGGTTGGAAGGAGTACAAATATAAATATAAATATAAAATGCAAAACCTTACATTTTATATTATTTTGTATGTATTTATATTATACATATTTGCATTTGTATTCCTTCAAAACTGAGCTTTAAGGAGATTTACGATAGTGGTTAAGAAATAAAAAAATCTCTGTCGCCCTTCTACACTGGGATTTACATAAAAACAATACAGCTACCAATCCATAAAACAAGGCCAATTCATTATTTTTGCACATATACATTGATAGAAGAGTGTATGATCTGGACATTAATACTCTTATCCCAGCCAAAGACTAAACCTCTGGGGCATCGTCCATTTGATCTTACAATCATGACTTGAGTATATGTGAATCTCAACTCATATTCATCTATTCTTTTTATTTTTCTTTAAATAAATATCATTTTTAGTAAAAATTTAAATATCCTATTTGATCGAGACGGTTGAACCGTTGATATGCCACGTGGAGATCAGGTCTGTTTTTAAGCTTCTTTGGAATGTTGCCAAGTCACTCGCGTCCAACAATGATTCCCAATTTTAAGATTGGATGGATGAAATAAAAGTTTATGTAAGGTCATAATCATACGCGGGGCTTCGTCTTTGACCGTCAGATCGGTTGCAGGTTGATTCATTAAATACAGAAGGTGCGCGGCTGTTTCTACAGATACCAATTCGACGTTCAGATTTGCGAGTCCTAAGGTTTTGATTTTCCTCCATCTAAGCAATAATTAACGGTAAAATATGCACCACAAACCGAAACGTGTACAATGTGAAGCCTCAAGAAAATTGAAGAATAGAACAAGAACACTCGCTTTTTCAATCGCGCTCTCTCCACTCCCCTGGCTCCGTGTCTACACCCTTCACTAAATTACATAAATACCCTTTAATTATCCACGTGTTAGCATCAGAATGAAAGTTGATCAGGGCAATTACCAAAGCGACTATGAGTAGAATCCAGCATTTATAAATTCGCTAACAAAATCCTCCGCAAGGGGTGTATGTAGGGTTTAGTGTTCTCTCTCTCTCTCTCTGTCTCTCTCTCTCTCTATCTCTATCTCTCTCTCATTCTCATCTCTTCGGGGCCAAAAGCTAATGCGGAAACAGAGACGGGCGGGGAGAGACTGAGCTGCGGCGCTCTAAATCTGTCTTGTTGAGAGACACCATCTGAGGTCTTCCATCCATTGAAGTTCACAGCTTTAATGGCCGAGAGCTTGATCGGCAGTGCAGCAATGAAGAAACCGGGAGACGGGTTCGCGGTTCCCGTGTCTTCGTCCTCGAATGGATCTCTGTTTCAGAGGAGGATCGAGTTTCATCCGGCGAAGAAACCCTTCTCCGGATTTAGTACTGGAAATGGCGATTTTCACTTGGAGACGTTGAATCCCAGCTCCGATTCGCAGAGAACCGCCGCCACCGCAAACGGGGGCACGTCGGTATCGAAGGGGAAGAAATCGGAGAGCGTTGATTTTTTCGAACACGAGTTGGATCCGGAGCTCAGTTTCGGGATTACGTTTAAGAGAATTGTAAGTTATTTATTGGGTGTGCATCAATTCGATTTTTTTTGGATGTTCTTGAGTTTCGAATTGAGTTCTTTTTTGTTGTTACGGTTGGCTTTGACATGGGTGTAAGGACTTCCCGATCATTGTGTATTGTTCTATGGAATTACCTGCTGACTGCTCTATTGTTCGTATTTGTTATCTATCCCGGAATCTTCCCTGTTAGTTTCATTGTTCCTCTCGACCTATAGAATTGGATTTTCTTTTTCGTTTTTTTTTTTCTTTTTCATTTCTCTACTGGTTGTGTGATTTTGCATGATTGGACGAGGACCGAATTTTATTGGCTCCACTGTATTAGTTACAGTGTTTGTTTTTGTTTTACTGCACCTTGTCCCGCGGATTTTCTTTTTTTTTTTTTGGTTGGGGNGGGGTGGAGGAGGGTTGTCCTTAGTTTTTCTATATAACTTTTAAATTTGATTTGTGATAGGCTTCCATTTTTATTGATGGAATTTTCCTGATCTTTCAATCTTTTATCTCTATTAATCTAATATCTGTTTTATTTTATCTAAACGCGGGAATAAATCGAATGTTTTTACAGGGTGCTGGTTTGGAAAATCTTGGAAATACTTGTTTCTTGAACTCGGTGTTGCAATGCTTGACATACACAGAGCCTTTTGCGGCATACTTGCAAAGTGGAAAGCATCAAACTTCTTGTAATCATCTCTCTCAATTTCCATTATTATCTGCATGGGCAAATTAAAACTTCTAACACTGTTGTAAGTTGGGAGAATTTCTATTCTGTAAGTTTGGAACTTGGCATAAAATATTAATATCCGGTAAAGATAAATGCTGATACTTCATGGATGTTCATATAAATACACACGACCCAAGCATACTCTATAAAGTCTTGCAACCTTTTTGCGTTCAGCATTATGAACCCCGTTGGGGTGTATGTGTATTCATATATCCCTTTTGCAGCTTTTTTTTTTAAATTTCTAGTAGATTTAACAATGAGCCTAATATTCATCTAGAGATGAACCCATTTTAGTATGTATTGTGTATATGTGATCTGATTCTAGAAATAGAAATGGAATCAACTTCTTTTGGAAAAGTACTCTGGTCCTTGTACCCAAATTAGACTATTAGAGTCCAAGTGATTGTACCTAGGTGCTAATTTGCTTTTTTTTTTTTTTGTTTGTGAAGCAAACTGCATATAATTTTTTTATTATTATTATCAGTACTGCACATATGTTATTTTGAATTTTGTCCCAATGTTATTGATGCTATTTGGGCATTAGTATGGTCCCTGTTCTGGTATATGGAATTGGCAATGCCCTTTGCATATCATAGCACTTCTTGCACTCCTTGTGGTGCTGGGATACATCATCAAATGCATCATACAGTTTCACCATCCATGGAGCAGAACATCTAGTTATCATGGGTTTCCTGACCTTTCTACTTGCCCTAAAATTGCCTTTATTGCTAGGTGTGTCTGACAACCATTTCCTTGTGTTATTCTTGCTAAACTTAGTATGCACAAAACAGGGGAAAAAAGAGGCTTTTTTTATCATTTAACTGTTGATCAAAAAAGAGGTGGTTATGTGCCTTCTGACCATTAAAGGATTTATTTACCTCCAGGAATGCTGAATCAACTGAATCAAGATGTACTACAGGAAAAAACAGGTCCATGCTTAAAGTGAACAATGAAGCTCCACCTATGCTCAAATCACATAAAATTCTATTGAAAGATTTGTTCATGGAAGAGGGGATTAATACTTTTAGCAATCGATATTTTATTAATGGTTACCACAACATCCCATTGTAAATGATGTCATTTTGTTGTGCATAAAAAAATGTAGTCTTTTCTGGATTATTGGATTAACTGTTGCTATGTCTTATTGGGCTGTAGACCATGACAAACCATTATGGACTAGGGTAGTTATCCAGGATAAAGTTGGATATCTAATTGAGGATGTCATTCAAAATAATTGCATTTGCAGAGCTCTGTATTATCTAAATATTCCCAATTATTTATTTCTTTTCCCTTTTCCAAAAGTAAGATCTATGAAGGCATAGATTAATAATCCACAAATTGAAATTCTCTTTATGATATTAACCTGATGTCATTCTGTAATATCCCATGGTTGAACCCAAAGTTCAAAATATCGCAATGTACCAGTGCATATTGTATGATACTTGTTGGTTTTTGAATCCACTGAAATGCCTTTTGCATGGATATAAGGGGTATCTTTATGTTTAAACATAAGAAACCCCTCTAACTTTAATATCCTTGACTTGGCTACTCATTCAGAAAAAAATGTCCTTGATACTTTAGCCTGAAAAAATAAAAAGAAAAGAGCATTGCCCTTTAAAAAATGTGTGGATCGCCAAATTTGCGATTTGTTTATCAATAATTTGAACCATGGATGAACCTCAAATTTGAAGATTTGCAATTTTACGATGTGTTATTTTAATCTAGAAGCAAAGTTTACATTTAATGTCTCCTTACGAAGGCTTTTTTTGGTTACCATGCAGGTTTACTGATATAATGCTCTAAACAATAAAAGGAAAACTTTATTAAGGAATTCAATTATCAAAATAAAAACTTTATTAAGGAATTTTAAATATCCTGAAACCTAATGTGGTTTAAAGACTTGGTCATAGTTGTCAAGGTGATGCGTAGGCAACGAGGTGCTCTTGGAGACTCACCTCACCTAATTGCCAAGCAGTTTTGTACAGTGTGCTATAAAAACTTTTATATTCTTAATTTTTTGAGGTTATAATTATAAAATAGACATTATTAAACTAAAATATTTATTTTGTGTGTTTATATACTAATTTCATTTTATTATTTTCTTATTTGTTAGGGTTTAATCAACACAAACATTGCTAAATGCTGTATTGAACCCTCAAAGACTTCAAAACCTGAACCAATAAGGAAGAACTTAAAATGTCATCTAATCAGCACATTTTCTTCTTCTTCCACCTTTTCTTTTCCTCTTTTCCTGTAACAAAAATAGGGGTTCAGCCCCCCTTTTTTTTTGAGTTTTCTTTTTCTTTCTTCTTTTTCTTCTCATGGATATGTTGGACAATGTTGATTACTTTTGTATTTAGTTGGGAGGGCCTATGGTTTTGGGTGGTTTTGCTGTATTGTTTCTGGCTATACATGGAGCATACCTGACACTTGTACTTTTTGTCAATTTCAATACAATACTTTACCTCTTTTCTAAAAAAGATATGTTGGAATCTGTTTATTTTATATTTTAACATGAAGCTTATACTTTTTTATGAAAATTATGGATAATTATTAAGGAAATATGGTTATGGAACCTAGGGAGCTACCCCAGGATATATTTTTTTACTTTAAAAATTCATCGCCTAGGCGACTAGGTTACAAGGCATCCCCTGTCACTTGGCCTTGCCTTGGTGCCTCGAAAACTATGGAGTTGCTTTGGTGTATATGATTGTTCTCTGCTATCAAGGCTTCTCTCTCTCTCTCTCTCTCTCCTGGGGAGGATGTAAACTGCAACCAGGTATGTGGATATTTTTGAGAAAAACCAGGTATGTGGATATCATTTATCCACTTTTCTGATTTTCCCATGACCCACCATTTTAATGGCCATTGTTGTGGAATGTTTGGATGTCTCTGTAGGTGGTCTGCTGGTATGCAGCCTTGCCTCTCTGTTGTATTACTCGGTTTCTATCAAATAAAATTTTTCTCCTTTTTCCAAAAATAAATTACATTGTTCTGTTTCAAAAAATAAATAAATAAACTCCATTCTTCAGTTCAAATGGTGATGAATCTTAGATTCCTTTCTTGGTTTTTCTTTTTATATGAAACAAATTCCACTGTGATTGATATGTGGAATGAGAACTGTTCAGGAGATTTGTCATATCCTGTGAGAAGATCTTCTGGGATTGTCCTAAATGAGGATCTGATGGTACTAGATTTTGCACTCTTAACCCAAGTATCTGTTGTATACTGAGTGTAATGTCCTTACTTTATCAGTTTGGTACTTCAAATACTTAAAGACAAGATAAGCTCCTTTTTGTTTTTCTACTTCTTTCAGGTTCAACTATATCCTGTTATGGTAATGTTCCCTATGTCATATGCATGAACTTAAGGGTTTTGTGATTTTTTAAGTTGGGTATCATAGTTCTTACCCAACAGGTAATGTTGGAGAAGTCATTTGTGCCACATGCCCAGAAAACAAACTTCTCAATTATTGTTCATTTGTTCTAGTATATAAGCACTGTTACGTATCTGACATTGGATGCTAAGCAGTTGTATATGTCAACCTCCAAAAGTCATAGCCAGTGTTAGTGATATCAATTTTAAATATATAACAAATCAAGAAATTGATGTTTAAATTCGTTATTGGATATGCATTTTTTTCTCATGATATCTAGTTTTGAAGAAAAACCAGGCATCGTCATGGCTACACCCTTAGGTTCAAGTTGCCCTGGTAACACTACTTGTTAGCTCAACTTGAAGCTAAAGGATCATGCACTCCAAACAACCAAGAATCTCTAGGGCATGTAACCTTCCAAGGCACTCAATTGTTTGAGTTTGTGTGATCAGGTTGTTGCTTGTTATTAGCAGCAGGTAACCTGTACAAGACCTCAAAAAAACTCTATGAGTGGGTATTTCAACATTGGGTGTTCTGTTATATCTTGACTTTCAGGGCTACTGTTTAACTTGATTCTAAGATCTTTATTTTTTACATAGATCATTTGGGATTTTGTTCAAGTTGTCCTTGTTTTTTTGATTGGTAACAAATGGAAATTTCATTTTTTTTGTTTGATACTGAAAAGGAATGATATACAGAATTTGGTTTCATACCTAAAATTCCTATTTGATAGGCATCCCACTTATTCTGTTAACACGATGTCTATTACATTCTTCTGCTTGAGAGGTGATCCCCTAATGAAACATAGTTCGTTTTACCCCTTGCTTTATCAGAGTATCAGACATTAGCTGTACACATTACCTTTTTCTAGGTATGTCAAGATGTACAAGAGTGCTGCCTTAAACCAGTTAAAATTTGGCCACATGATGGAAAACAGTGGTTCAAATATTTAATTATAAATATACTGATAAAACCTTGAAAATGTGAATTAAGGTTATAAATAAAAAATATGAAGGAAATGTTTGATGGTCCATTTCTTTATATCATTAATAAAGTATTTAGTAAGCCATCAAAAGAAAGGAATGTTTGATGGTCCGCCAATCAAGGGATCTCACCTGTGCTCAGGGGGAAGGAATAAACTTTATGTGCTGGTTGTAACTATTTGACTAGTTATTATTCTTGTATTGTAAATAAAAGCAAAAATTTCTGGATGGAAGTCCAGTTCTGTTATTTCTCATAAAAAAATGAGGAAAAGAAAGTTCTGATCTGGAAAAAACATTCATTTACATTCTTGCACTGTTTATGATTTTATGTTCTTTTTAATGTATGGAAAAGAAAGTTATGTTTCATGTGCATTAGATTAAAAAACATAAATTGTCCATTCCCTTCATCGCTTTCTTATGCCATATTTGAGCTGTGTTAGATTAAAGATCACACTGTTATGTAATGCTCCACTGATACTCTTATCTTCCTAAATTACTTATCTAGGTTTATCATCCTTCTCCTTTCCTCACTAATTATTCTTGGCTGTTACATGCTGTAAGCTTATCATCCTTGTAATTTATCTAATTTTGTTTATATGGATTTATAAAGGTCGCACTGCTGGATTTTGTGCCATGTGTGCCATCCAGAATCATGTCAGGCGTGCTCTTCAATCAACTGGGAGAATATTAGCACCTAAAGATCTTGTCATGAACCTGCGATGTATCCTGATGAAGTGTTATTTTGATCATGTAACTTCTATCTTCCTAATAATAATAAAAAATTTATTGAGGGCAAATACTTATTTACTTTTAGGACTGGCCAAATGGGTGACTAAGGCAAAATGGAGGCAGTGCTTGACTTCAACTATCAGGCTTTGGATTGCTAAGACCTACCTTGGTTAAATTTGCCCCAAGCTTATTTAATTTGAGCAGAACTTGGTCTAAACATTCAATCCAATTCTGTACTTTCCTTGGTTCCAAGTTTGAGCATCGTTTAAGTCCAGGTCATGTATCAGTTATGTGTTTACAAATATGACCTATGTTTGACGGCCTTCTTACCGTGCTAAGTGTGTTGCCTCCATTGAACATTGGACTTTCATATCCCGGGAGTCTATAGGCTTGTAGTACCAATGTTATATTGACAGTCAAGTTCAATTTATGCATGTAATTTGTGATTCTTGACTACATCCTTAGGCATATCCAGGAATTTCCGCAATGCTCGACAGGAGGATGCTCATGAATACATGGTTAACTTGCTGGAATCAATGCACAAGTGTTGCTTACCTTCTGGGGTGCCAAGCGAATCTCCTAGTGCTTATGAAAAAAGTTTGGTCCATAAAATTTTTGGTGGTAGTCTCAGGAGTCAGGTAGGTATTTTTTTAGGCCTTAAATATCTCAAAATCTGAGGCTTCTCTAAGCATATGTATCTTACTGTTGGATTTCTTTTGTTCCTTTCTAGGTTAAATGCATGCAGTGTTCCTATTGCTCCAACAAATTTGATCCTTTCTTGGATTTAAGTCTTGAAATAAACAAGGCGGATTCCTTGCGCAAGGCACTTACACACTTCACTGCTGTAGAGCAATTAGATGGAGGAGAGAAGCAATATCAGTGTCAACGCTGCAAGCAGAAAGTTAGGGCCCTCAAACAACTCACAGTTCACAAGGCCCCTTATGTTCTCACCATACATCTAAAGCGGTTTGGTTCACATGTTCCTGGGCAAAAGATTGACAAAAGAGTTGAGTTTGGTCCTAGTTTGGACTTGAAACCCTTTGTCAGTGGTTCCTATGTGAGTAGATATTTTGTTGCCTCACCATTTTCTCAGATGAATTTATTAAATACAGTTTCAAGATATTTAAGCTATCATTTGCATTGATTCTAGCATGGCTAAACAGGTCACTGTGGCTCACATGGTGGGTTTACTATTTAATGTGCCTTGCTAGAATATTTCATTTGCTGAATAATGACCATGTATTAATGCTATTTCATCCCCATTGGTGTTGAGGAAATTACTAATTGTCCAAGAAATTCTGATAAATCGAATGATTAGGATTATCCAATTGGGCTAATGACCTAAGAGTTATCTCTGGTAGCTTCAAAGTTCCATAAAAATGAGGGATTCCCACTCTCTTCGTATGTGTCACGTGCAAACTGCTGTTTTATTTAAGTGCCTTAAAGATCACTTTTCATCATAGGTTGGCCACTCCATGAGAATTAATTTACTCTTTGTTAATTCTTCATATTTCACAGGAAGGAGATCTAAAATACACCCTTTATGGGGTCCTGGTTCATGCCGGATGGAGTACCCATTCTGGCCACTACTATTGCTTTGTTCGCACATCAAGTGGAATGTGGCACTCTCTTGATGACAACCGGGTATGATTTATAGTTTCTATTTTCTCTTTTAGATCCATTTTTCTTGGAAGCTCTACTTCTTGCCCTATCTTACTGATTTTCTTGAAGGATGCCATTGGGCTTACCATTGCCAATTGGAACATACAGGTTGTCCAAGTTAGTGAAAGGACTGTTTTGGAACAGAAGGCCTATATGTTGTTCTATGTGCGCGATAGGAAATCTGTTGCCCCCAAAAAACCAGTTGCTGTTTTACCCAAGGAAAACACAGTAGGAAATGCCATGCAAAACAAGGAATGTGGCATTTCTGTCCATGGTCCAAAAGAAAAGGCCCAAAATGGTTTGGTTGAGAGCAGATTATCCTTTTCAGATTGTTCCAGAGCTGTTTCTCAAGGACAGGCATTATGTCCAACAAAGGAGCCCTTAGTAAAAGAAACTTCAGTTCTGAAATCTAATGGTTTTATCACAAAGGCAGCAAAAGGCCCATCTCTATCTAAGGTTGCTCCATCAAAACCTTCATTGAAGGAGCCTCATTTGAAGGACCTGGCACAGGGGCAGCTTGGAGCAGAAGTATCCCCACAATCAACTCCATCATTAGCAAATGGCAGTCGCAATGCTTCTAATCTGAATGATGTCAGGATTGCATCTATTGGTGCTAAGCATAACCCTGTAAATATGTGCGACGGATCAAAGAAAGATTTGAATCACAATGCTGGAATAGTGAATGAAGGATCAAAATTTGATTTGAGCATCCCAGTTGCTACACAACCTGATTGCACTGTGCTCCAAAACTCTGGTTGTGAGAAGCTTATCAAATCTAACCTGCCACATGAGGTCTCTCTCCCTCTCTCATTCTCTCTAATGTTTCTTTTTTTCCCACTCTTTCCTTCATGTGTAATGTTTAATTTTATCTTATATATACACTGGGACAGAATGGTTATGTGGGAGCACCTCAGGAGGTAATATCAAATAGGATCATTGATGAACAATCTAAGGAAAATTTTACACCAAGGCTGTCAAAGGAATCAAATGTTAAAATTGATCAGGTAGATAAAATCTGGAAACACCTAAGATTGATTGTTGGCATATTATTTCTTTAAACTGACTTTTAATTTTTCCTTCTAGAATGGATGTGGGGATTACACAATTGGTATTTCATGCCCCAAGGTAGGGGAGGGTGATAGAAGATCAACTGAAAATGGGTCAGTTGAAATATCAAGGCAGGTAAGTATGGATGGTATGTCTGGTCATGTAGAGGCTTCTGATCTTAGGCATAACCAGAAAAAGCTTAAATCAATGAAGAAACTTTTGAAATGTCGGGTGGCTGGCATGCATCTCAGTTCTAGTATAATGTTCAGAAAATCCTTAAGTTTGCGGAAGAAAAAATATAAAAAGAGCAAACATCGCAAGCTAGAACTAAAGGGTTTCACTCGGAAAGACTTGGAGGAAAATGGCATGTCAAGAGGTTTTGGGCCGTCAACATCAGAGCAAACTAGGATGGTCGCCCTTGATGCAACTCACTCTCGAAAACAGCGGGCCAGGTCTGTTATGAAAGAAGGAAATATTAATATGGCTGCAAAGGGTGCAAAAGGTTCCAAACGTTATTCCTTTAATAACACTGTAGATGAAGATTTCGTACAGAGAATTAGTAACAATAGTGCTGTGCTTGCAACCAATGAACTATCAGAAAAGAGTTTGCACTCGAATTCTGTGGCAAACCACTATGATGCTAGAGAACCTGATAAATTGCATGACAAGAAAAGAGGTTCTTCTCAGAATGGATTGATTGGCATGCTTATGAGAGGTGCGGAAACCACTGGTGAGCTTCCTTCCCTTGTTTTTCTTCTTGGTTATACTGTGCATGTAAGAAACTTCTGAATGTTGTATGCATGTATATATATTCCAGGCTAGGCCCGGATTCTGGGCTGGGCTAGAAATAACCACCCTTAAACCCAACTAATAATACGATATACGTGGAACTTTCAGGATCCGTCGTTTGTATTGCATATGTAAGGTACTGTTATACTGTCTAACCAGATAACAGATCTTCACGTTCTAAGCTAAAAGATTGAGTGGTACTGTTATACTGTCTAACCAGATCTCGCATTCTGGACTGTCTGAAATATTGTTATGATTGTAGGAAAAAGGAAAAGACATTGATAAATATGATAAAAAAGATAAATGATAATTAATTGATTATCTAGGGTCACCCAATTGTCTACGTTTCTTATTCCTCTGGGGAGATAATGTCAAGTCTCTGGTCCTTCAAATTGTGATTTTATTATGTTTTTTGGATTCTTCAAATTGTCTACTTCCTGCATGTTTCCATTGCAGTATCTAAAATCTGTTGAGCCTATCTTTGGTTCACATTCTTGCATGTCATTTGATGTGGTTCTTGTTTCTATAATTGCAGTTGCACGTTGGGATGGGGTAGAACTGCCAGATCAGATTTTAGAATCTAGTATTGCACAAAGCACCAGCATTGGTTATGTGGCAGATGAATGGTGAGTTGTTGATACTGTAGTTTATTGTCTATAATCCTTCCGAAATTATGTAGTTTGTGGCACACTTGCATCTCAAACTTTTGAAATTTGATCTGCAATTTTTTGTTATTAGGGCTCTTCTATTTGACATTCAAGATAAAACCATAGTTTGTCAGGGTGATACCTTGGCGATAAAGGTGCTCATGGAGGGCATCCTCACTTAATCACCAAGATATTTTTTTATATGGTACTCTTGGATACTTTTATATTCATAACATTTTGAGATTATATGTATACTGTCTTGAGGCCTTGAGGACTTTAAAACCTGAGCTGACAAGCAAGAACTCAAAATTTTGTCCAATTGGCACATTTGATTCTTTTTTCTTTCTTTTTTCTTGGGACAAAAATATAGGCTCAGCCCCTCTATTTTGTGAAATTTCTTTTCTTTCACTTTTCATGAATATGTTGATTTTTTATGTTTTAAATGAAGTTTATACATTTTTACAGTTTTCGTTCAAGAAAAAAAATCCATGGCCTAAGTGACTAGGTGACAAAGTGCCCCCTTTCTTCTAGTCTGGCCTTGGTGTCTTGAATAAAACAACAGAAAATGGATAATAGATGCTTTTTCTGGATTGTTAGTGCTCTTCTATTTGACGTTTCCGTACAAAGGGTGGTGGTAGGCACGGGAATAAGGATGCTTTACAGGAATATAGCGACTTTGCTGTTTTCATGTTGTAATGTGGCTCTTATCTGTACCCTAAAAAATAAAAAGGGAATAATTCTGTGATTAGAATGATCATTAAAATGATCTTTAATGTTGTTTTCCGAGGTCCAAAGTTCTAATAAACCTAAAGAAATAAAATTAACCAACAAATTTGCTTAATTTTTTTTCTTATAATTGCATTATTTATTAAATAAATCAATCCATTTGTCATTCCATTGTTACAATTGTTTTTTTACATATTTTGTCCAAAGTTTTATCTGTAAACTGAAAAATAATGGAAGCTATATTTTGAGTGTTTGCATTATGATAATGTTCGAGCACGACTGCTTATCAAAGTAATCCAACAAAAGTCTTTCTGAATTGTCTAAATCTACTCTAATAATCTCATTAAGGCGTGCATGTCGGAGTGCAGCCACAAAATTCAAACTGTTCAAGCATTATTGGCCTTCCATGATTCCATCTTTTCCTTGAATCTTTGTACTACAATTAACTTGCTGGAATTGTTTGGAATTGAAAATTCCATTTTTTTTATGTTTATTGTTAATATCTTTTGACAGGGATGAAGAATATGACCGTGGAAAGAGGAAAAAGGTGAAGCACCAAAACAACTGCTTTGGTGGACCAAACCTCTTCCAGGAAATTGCAACTATGAAGGCACAAATGAAGAAGTCAAAGATGGACCAGACAAGCTCCGGAAACCGACCCTTCAGGATATGAAGATGGAAGTGCAACATTGTTAGAGCAAGCAGGTTTTTCTGGCCTGCTGCTATGTTTTTGATAATCTATGTAACGATTGTTGTTGAGTGGAGATTTGTAACAGCTAGAAGCCTCGAGTAACCTTGGCTCCTTGCTGTGCTGGGCGGTTAGTTCCTTTTCTTTTTTGTTTGAATTCTTTGGTGAGGCATTGCAGACTGTTGAGAGGAGGGACCATTACTTTGTGGGGGTAGTATTATTATGTCTGAAAAAGATATAAATTGAGAGTTCTCCAGTGCTGCTTCAGAGCTCTCAATATGTAAGGTATGAAATGTTTCCCACATTAGCATTCATTAAAAAAAATGTTTCCCATATTAGAACCTGTCTTTTGGGTCGAAAAGTTTTGCTGATTCAAAGGATAGTGTGTAATGGACCCGTGGTGTAGCCGTGTTGGGCCCTGCTAATTGATGATGCATTCACATGAAAGGTGGGCTGCTTAATATCACATTCACTACAAGCTTCTATTATGTTGTCTCCCTCCTTTTCTGTTGACAGTATCGATACATTTGAATCTATTATCCGAACAAATCTTACTGCTTTTAGGCCCGAAGCTCTTTTGAGTGGTTGAATACGTAGGACCCATTTGGTTCATGGGAATAGGGGTCTAGAATTGGAATTTTTTACGAGATATTCTAATTCTAATTACATGGTTCATGGTTGGATGGAATTGGAATTTCATTCCCATTTTTGGAGTGAAATTCCTCCATTCAAGTGTATAACCAATTCCCTCCCCCTCCTTTAGGAATGAAATCTTATTTCTATTTGCTTTCAATTTCTGATTGAATCAAATAGAATAACTGTGTAGAATCTGATTTCAAAGGATTTTGATTTTTATTTCGATTTCAATTCCAACTGTAAATCAAACGAATCTGTAGGCCCTTAGCCATTGCCTATTACTTGTTTAAAAACCAACGGCTTGACAAGATAGTTCTATGCCTTTAATAATGAAAATGAAATATAGAATTTAGGGTCTCCTGGTCACAGGAATAAGGGTTTGGAATTAAAATTAGAATGATCTATTCCAACTCTTACTGTTTGATTCTGAAATTATAATCATTATCTGAAATTATGACATGCAATGCAAATGAGCATTAACTATTCAATATTAAAAGGGTAATATGAGATTAGAGAGTAAAAAGAGAGATTAAAATGAGAGAGAGAGAGAGAGTTAATTTGTTGAATGTAAGTATTAAATACGGGGTTAAGAGAGAAGTTTTACTGCATTGATATGGTAAGAATTAAATGCAGAATTAGATAATTTATAATAATTAAATACGGGATGGTGTAGGTTTAAAATTTAAATCAAACGAATATTATTTAAACAAAACAAAATCAAACGAATATCAAGTTAGAGAGGTCTGTGAATGATTGTTATGAGTACGTAATTTATTGATCTTCTTTTTATATTTGGAGCCTTTTGGTGGTAGAATTGTACTCAGGTTGCATATTATCAGATTTAGCCACATCCAAATCTGATTGGGTTATTGAAACTTCAAATCTCAATGTGATACAAAATTTGATATATTACATCTGTATCAAATTTAGATTTAACTAGTTAGGATCCGTGTGATGCACGAGTTTTATTTATGAGCATAATTGAAGATGGAGCTCTATGACATTTTCAATTAAATGGTGCCCATCTAATTTCAATTCAAGAATTATTTTTTAGGGTTATGTCTAGTTTATCCAATCACAAAGAATTTAGTGATAGTAGCTAAATTCTTATTCTCTATTTTTTTTGGTATCGTAATGCTAACTTTTATTATTTTTTTGGTTTATAATTATTTTTGTATTATTTTTAGGTAAAATTATAAAAAAAACATCACCTTATAACAATTCTATAAACCACCCTTGTGCTTTGACCTAACAAAGGCCTCCCCCATAGTTTTAAGAAAAAAGTGCAAATACCTCCTTTCCCTGGGCTCTTTGGTAGCAAAGACATTGAAGTTATCAAAGTACCCTTATCATTGTTAATGCATTATTGTAAATAACCTAAAGTTTCAACTTTACCCTCTATTAATTTATTTTGCTAGACAACTTTCAAATAATAATTTTCCTTACTCTTCTTGAACAAATGTAAAAATGGCTGAAGTGAAGTAAAATCAATGCATTACATCAACATTTTTTTTTAATTGGAATGCTTATTAAAGTAAGGCATTTACACCTTTTTTTTTCAAAACAATGGGGGAGGTTTTTGTTAGGGTCAAAACACTAGGGAGTTTCATAGGATTGTTAGAAAACCTGAGGAGGTTTTTATAATTTTCCTTATTTTTAAATGGAATTTAAATTGGTTTTAAAATAATTAAACTATGTTTAAAACTAACATTGTTTATTAAATTTTTAAATATTAAAAATTGAATTTATTAAAGTATATTAAGTTTTTATTAAATTTAAATTCCTTATGAAATTTAATTAACCATATAAATTTTTATTTTTAGTGGAACTTAAGTTGGTTTTAAGTTAATAAAATTTAAGTAGCATACTAAATTATTTTTGTTATGGTAAATTAAATTTTATTATTTTCAAATGGAATATAAGTGGATTATGATTTTAAAGGGAAGTAGATTATTTAGCACAATAATATATCATTGAATATCTCAATCTCAATATAATTAATATTTACTGATAAGCGATAATTGAGATTTAATGCAAATATATATATATATTAAATTGAAATGGATATATATAGATAAAATTAATGGATTACAGTTTAATGGAGTAATGGAGATGAGAGAGAGTTAGTGGCATGAGTTATTGAAGGAGAGAATTAATGGTATAATTAATGAGGAGAGATTATTAAAAGAGTTAATGGGAAAAAGGAGAGAGAGAGAGAGAGAAAGAGATTGGTATTTATTGTGGAGTGTTAAAAGTGTTAAAGGTGGTCAGTCACTTGACTTTACTCAATTTTAAAATTAGAAAATTAATGAAAAACCAAAAAAAAATATTGGTGCCTTTGAGAAGAAACCAAAAAAAAAAAGTGACTTTGAGAATAAACCATATAGTAGGAAAGTGCCAACTTGGCACATTACATTTTAATATATAGGTATAAATTTGAATTTACTTTATTTTTTTAAATAAATAAAATTTTAAAAAGTTAAAATTAATAACTTTTAATTTATTAATTTAACTTATAATCTCTCTCTCTCTATACATATGTATATGTATATGTGTATGTATATATATATATATATAACATTTTAATCCAATTGGATGTCTATTTGGAGTTTTGACTTTAAGAGTCAATTGGAATTGATTATGTTTAATATGCTCCAATATGCATGTATACTTTGAAGCTTAGGTTACGTTTGGAAATTGATGGTGCGCGATCCGAACTCCAATTGGGCGGCAAGCTGGACCGATCTGCAAAATAGTGTATCAGAGAACCCGGGGTAGTTAACTCGGCAAGGTCGCTCTGATGCTTAAGTCAGTACTTATGTTGTGAATGCGAGCTGAATGCTTAAGAGCTTGAGTGCTAGTGAGTAAAATAATCACGCGTACCTTTGCCTTGAGGTTTCATGACTTTATATACTGGAGTAGTCGTGGGCCTTACGAAAGATCTCCGAGATCTCCGGGTTGTGCAGATAAGGTTTGTTCCATTTTTGAATGAGAGCAGTATGTTGATAAGGTTTATCGTTTACCTCCAATTCTAGCGGAGCTAGAATGAGTCTCATCGTGATCTCGAGAAATTCGGGGCCCGTTAAGGAGGCCTTTGGAGTCAATCATTTGGTATTTTGACTCTCCAGCCCGGAATTGGCACTTCGATTCTTTGGCCCCGAACTATATTGGGTGTCGAGGTGCCTCTACACTGAAGTGGTTTTTTGGGCCGAGGTGGCTGAGTGCCCGAGCTCCGAATGTTGCAAACTGGATTCGCTTGGCCGAGTTATCACCCCTCGATCAAATCGCGCCTACGTGTCCCCTTTCTTACTAGGTTGTGTCAAATCACCCTTCATCAATTGCCCCCCACTCCTCATGCCAAAGGTCCTAACCCGATGCGGGGAGTTCATGGTGAGTCCAGGTGGATTTGGCACGAATTCTAGATGGCTTGGAGGGCGAACCGTTGGTCGCGCCTGTTCAACCATCTGACTCAACCATGAAATGACCCAGGTCGTGTCTCGACCACGCCTGGATGTCACACTGTTTATAAACTCCGCAAACGCCAAAGAGCGCGATCAACCGATTTCATCATCGGGTAGCGTGCAGTCGGTTTTCTTGGGAGCCATTGGATTGTACAGATCTCGACCGTTGATCGCCGAATGTGGTGGACTATAAATAGGGGCCGAGAGACCCATTACCTTTTCCATAAACCGTGCAACTGAGCTCTCCTGAGGTCGCGTCGGAGTCCTTCAGCTCGCCATTCTTCCCTTTTGTGTCCAAGGTCGTTATCGTCTTTTTGGTGAGTTCGTCTTCTTTCACTAGTTGTTCCTTTTCCTTTTCCAGCCCAATATGTTTAGTGCTAGCATAGATAGGTTACTTAGCGATACTATTGAGCCCGAGGGTGTCGAGGTGCGGTCCTCGGCTCATGCCGGTGGGGCCATCTCTTTGCTAGAGAGCTCCTCTTTACACCTTTTAGGAGAAACGTCTTTACCTGACGTCGGGCCATCTTGGCTTAAGGAACCCGAACCTCAGGTAGAGTGATCGACCTCTGGAGAGGGGGTCCCATCTTCTTCTCGAGGTTGGGATCTGGACAACTTCGGCCCTTCCATGATGACCTCGGACAGATTGTTGTCGTTGGTAGCCTATTACTGTCTCCCCGACACCCTTGTCTTTAGTATTCCTTTGGGTCAATACCCTTGGGTTCACGGTCATCACAAGCTCACGATTTTTGAGGAGCAACTCGTAGCTGGGTTGCGTTTCCCGCTCCACCCTTTCATCGTAGAAATCATTAAGTTTCTTCGACATCACCATTGACTAGCTACACCCGAACTCCATCCGTACCATTGTTGGCACGATTTCACTTTTCCACGAGTATAACCGACCTCTTACCCTAGACATCTTTAGTTCGATTTGCTCCATCAAGAAGAACTCTTCTTGCCTGTGCGGAGACACCTGGCAGAGCTATTATATCTCGCCTCGTCCTGGGTTCAAGGTTCTGTTTGGTAACCCGAACAAAGTATCGGCCTGGAAGAGGAGATATTTCTTTGTTCGGAATCCTGAAGGGTGGCCATTCCCGACTCACTGGTGAGTGGCCATTAAGGACCCCGGGGTGAGGATGGATGTTGAGATTAGGGCGGTCATCAATTCTTGGAGGGACCTCAGCCTTGAAATGAAAGATTTCCTGGCCGAGGAAAAGCTTGTGCGCACACATGTTACTTCTCTCTTTTT